CTTTAATTTTTCTGTCGAGGCAATTTGAGGCGACTGTGAAGCCATTGAAGTTCATCACGTTGCGACCAGCAATGCTGGTTCCTGTTACGCATACCATTTTTCGAACCTTTGACATCTGAAAATGTCTGCTATAATCGTCTTGTCAAACCTTTGACATCTACAAATACGTGTTATTATCACCTTTCCAAACCTTTGGCAGTCTATAAACTCTCCTTTGTAAGTACTATTTTCGTTAAAACTATAACTCAAGTTATACACATTCTAGCATCATTATCAGCACGTGGCCCCTTTCATAACTCATCCTGGCGTCTGTGTCCCCCCTCTCTCCGTCACCCTCTTTCGTTTCTACAGACTTTCCCTTTCTCTGTTCCCTCCCCAAAAAATAATAATCTACCATATACGTTCCCATCTTCCCCCAGCTTGTCAAACAGCCAATGTTACGTGCCGTCGACACAGAATAAGATCAAACAACTTAAAACACTGGTATAGGATGCTGCATATATTTTTCAAGTCGAATTCGCATAGAAAAAGAATTGCACAAGGCTCCACTTGTCCCTATATTAGACGGGTCTCTATATTAGACGGGTCTCTCTGCATTTCGGCAGATCTGCTTTCGGAGTTTTCAGACACGGATCCCTCTTCTTTTCAGACACCGGGTTTTGCACAATATGTTGAAGCTCCCTGGAATGTGTGTTGCTCTTCTGGGACTTGTCCTCACTGTTAACGGACAGACAGGTAGGTGATCCTTCACCTGGTCTCAGGTATATGCATTTTCACATTTAGCCAGTTGAGGTTCCCGTACCGTTACACCGATGACATTGTTGATCGGCTGTTGACAGATATATGTTCGTTTGTTTAACAGACTCGTTGTCTTAACGCTGTGAAAAAGTCGTCAAAATCGGCTTCATTTGCTTATTGTGGTGTCAAGTATTCACTCTTACTAAACGTTGTTAATAGTTATGAATCAAGGTTAACACTTAATTTCAAGTAAAACGTTACTTTCTGTGTCGAGATTAGACTTCAACGTCGGTAAAACCTAACTGTCTTCACCTGGTGTCAGGTATATACATTTTCATACTTAGCCAGTTGAAGTTCCCCTTAATGGCATTGTTCATCGGCTGGAGATAGAGATGTTATCGTGTGTGCAACAGACTCATTGTCTTAACGCTTTGAAAAAACAGTCATTTGTTCATTGTGGCGTCAACTATTCACACTAAGTAAACGTTCATATATGTTAAGAATCAAGGTTAACACTACATTTCAACGTAAGCAAGTTGTAACTTTCTTTGTAGAAATTATATTTTAACGTAGGTAAAACCTGACTGTCATTGCTCAAATTATAGTGAGTGTGAGTGAGTGAGTTTAGTTTTACGCCGCACCCAGCAATATTCTAGCGATATGGCGGCGGTCTGTAAATGATCGAGTCTGAACCAGACAATCCAGTCATCAACAGCATGAGCATCCATCTGCGCAATTGGAAACCGATGACACGTGTCAACCAAGCGCTCAAATTATAATGTAACGTAGGTAAAACCGGGATGTCATTGTTCAAATTATACTTTTACGTAGGTAAAACCTGGGTGTAATTGCACAAATTATAATTTAACGTAAATAAAACATATCTCTCATTGCTCTAATTATAATGCAGTGTAGGGAAAACCTGGCTGTCATTGCTTAAACTATAATTTAATGTAGGTAAAACCTGGCTGTCATTGCTCAAATTATGATTTAACGTAGGTAAAACCTGACTGTCATTGATCAGATTATAATGTAACGTAGGTAATACCTGACTGTCATTGTTCAAATTATAATTTAACGTAGGTAAAATATGAGCTGTCATTGCTCAAATTACAATTTAACGTAAGTAAAACCTGGCTGTCATTCATCAAATTATAATTTAAAGTAAGTATAACCTGGCTGTCATTGTTCAAATTATACATTAACGTAGGTAAAACCTTGCTGCCATTGCTCAAATTATAATTTAACGTAGGTAAAACATGGCTCTCATTGTTCAAATCATAATTTAACGTAGGTGAAATCTGGCTGTCATTCCTCAAATTATAATTTAATGTAGGTAAAACCTGACTGTCATTGCTCAAATTATAATTTAAAGTAGGTAAAACCTGGCTGTCATTGCTCAAATTATAATTTAACGTAGGTACAACCTGGCTTTTATTCCTCAAATCATAAGTTAACGTAGGTAAAACCTGGCTGTCATTGCTCAAATTATGATTTAACGTAGGTAAAACCTGACTGTCATTGATCAGATTATAATGTAACGTAGGTAATACCTGACTGTCATTGTTCAAATTATAATTTAACGTAGGTAAAATATGAGCTGTCATTGCTCAAATTACAATTTAACGTAAGTAAAACCTGGCTGTCATTCATCAAATTATAATTTAAAGTAAGTAAAACCTGGCTGTCATTGTTCAAATTATACATTAACGTAGGTAAAACCTTGCTGCCATTGCTCAAATTATAATTTAACGTAGGTAAAACATGGCTCTCATTGTTCAAATCATAATTTAACGTAGGTGAAATCTGGCTGTCATTCCTCAAATTATAATTTAATGTAGGTAAAACCTGACTGTCATTGCTCAAATTATAATTTAAAGTAGGTAAAACCTGGCTGTCATTGCTCAAATTATAATTTAACGTAGGTACAACCTGGCTTTTATTCCTCAAATCATAAGTTAACGTAGGTAAAACCACTCTGTCATTGTTCAAATTATAATTTAACGTAGGTAAAACCTGGCTATCATTGCTCAAATTATAATGTAACGTAGGTAAAACCTGGCTGTTATTTCTCAAACTATTATTTAACGTAGGTAGAACCTGAATGTCAATATTCAAATTATAATTTAACGTAGGTAAAACCTGGCTGTGATTGTTCAAATTATCAATTAAGGTAGGTAAGACCTGGCTGTTATAGCTCAAATTATAATTTAACGTAGGTAAAACCTGGCTGTTATTGCTCAAAATATAATTTAACGTAGGTAAAACCTGGCTGTCATTTGCTCAGATTATAATTTAACGTAAGTAAAAGCTGGCTGTCATTGTTGAAATTATAATTTAACGTAGGTAAAACCTGGCTATCATTGCTCAAATTATAATTTAACGTAGGAAAAACCACACTGTCATTGCTCAAATTATAATTTAACGTAGGAAAAACCACACTGTCATTGCTCAAATTATAATTTAACGTAAGTAAAATCTGATTGCATCGCTCAAAAATTATAATTTAACGTAGATAAAACCTGACTCTCATTGTTCAAAATATAATTTAACGTAGGTAAAACCGTGCTGTGATTGTTCAAATTATAAATCAACTTACGTAAAACCTGTCTGTCATTGTTCAAATTATAATTTAACGTAAGTAAAACCAGACTGTCATTGTTCAAATTATACATTAACGTAGGTAAAACCTGACTGTTATTGCTGAAAAAATAATTTAACGTAGATACAACCTGACTGTCATTGCGCAAATTATAATTTAACGTAGGTAAAACCTTGCTGTCATTGCTCAAATTATAATTTAAAGTAGGTAAAACCTGACTTTCATTGTTCAAATTATCAATTAACGTAGGAAAAACTTAGTTGTCCTTTCTCAAATTATAATTTAACGTAGGTAAAACCTGGCTGTCATTGTTGAAATTATAATTTAACGTAGATAAAACCTGGCTTTCATTCCTCAAATTATAATTTAACGTAGGTAAAACCTGGCTGTCATTGCTCAAATGATTATTTAACGTAGGTAAAACCTGGCTGTCATTGCTGAAAATATAATTTAACGTAGATAAAACTTGGCTGTTATTGCTAAAATTATAATTCAACGTAGGTAAAACCTTCCTCTCATTGTTCACACTATTATTCAACGTAAGTAAAAACTAGCTTTCATTGTTCAAATTACAATTTACTTAGGTAAAACCTGGCTGTCATTGCCCAAAATAAAATTTAGCGTAGGTAAAACCTGACTGTTTTTGCTCAAATTATAATTTAACGTACGTAAAACCTGGCTGTCATTGCTCAAATTATAATTTCACGTAAATAAAACCTGCTACTGTCATTGCTCAAATTATAAGTTAACGTTGGTAAAACCTAGCTGTCATCGTTCAAATTATAAGTTAACGTTGGTAAAACCTAGCTGTCATCGTTCAAATTATAATTTAACGTAGGTAAAGTATGGCTGTCATTGCTCAAAATATATTTCAATGTAGGTAAATTGAAATTAAACTATCATGGCTAGCAGAATACTTTAAGGAAGGTCAAACTTGAAGGAAATCAATGGAAAATACATATAATCATTTACCGATACTGCGACATTGAAACATCTTTGAATTAACAGAGACAACAGATCTGTAGAGTCAGCCTTCAAAGCCAATCTGGGGCGGTGGGTAAGCTTGTGGTTAAAGCTTTCGCTTGTCACGCCGAAGACCCGGGTTCTATTTCCCAATTGGGTACAATGTGTGAAGCCAATTTCTGGTGTTCCCCGCCGTGATGTTGCCGGAATATTGCTAAAAGCGGCGTAAAACCACACTCACTCACTGACTAAAGCCAATCAAAGTGTTTCTGCCCAGGGGAGAAATGGTTCTGTACAGTCACCTATATTAGTCCTGAATCTTCGTTAGTCAGTAAGAATGGTTCTTTAAAGTCAGTCCTTATGCTTCTTTAAAGTGCTAGCTGTTGCTTTCCAAGCTGAAACTAAAAAGTAACGGGGAATTAGTCCGTAAGAGAACAAGGCCACTACAAACCAGTACAAACTAGAGCGGCAGTACACATTCAAAGGTAATATGATACGAGAGCAGTGATTATGTCAATAACGACAGTGATGGTATTATTCTCCTTCCAGGGTGTAATGATTATCATACTGAATGCTGGTCTTAGTGTAACTTCAGATATTATATCAGATGAAAGGCAATAGGCAAAAGTGAACCATAGATGAGTGTAAATTATCAGTGACATTTTATATAGACCATCGTGCTTGTTTACAGTGGCACCGGACCCTCGGTGTAGTGGCTTCCGGGATGGCGACGGGAACATTATGGCTGAAGGCTTGGGGTGTAGATACTACCTCTCGTGCTTTAACTTCATCATCAATCGCGACCCCATGGCCTGTGCTGGAGACACCATGTTCAACCCCGACTCCGGAAGGTGTGATGCGCAGGAATGCACCGACAATGGCGGTGTATCTAATTATGGTAGGTTCCCTGTTGCTACTTTTATACAAGAACTATGTTCATGACCACACATATCACAACTATGTTCATGACCACACATATCACAACTATGTTCATGACCACACATATCACAACTATGTTCATGACCGCACATATGACAGCTATGTTCATGACCACACATATCAGCACTATGTTCATGACCACACATATCACAACTATGTTCATGACCACACATATCACAACTATGTTCATGACCACACATATGACAGCTATGTTCATGACCACACATATCACAACTATGTTCATGACCACACATATCACAACTATGTTCATGACCACACATATCAGCACTATGTTCATGACCACACATATGACAGCTATGTTCATGACCACACATATCAGCACTATGCTCATGACCACACATACCACAACTATGTTCATGACCACACATATCACAACTATGTTCATGACCACACATATCACAACTATGTTCATGACCACACATATCAGCACTATGTTCATGACCACATATATCACAGCTATATTCATAACCACACATATCACAACTATGTTCATGACCACACATATCACAACTATGTTCATGACCACACATATCACAACTATGTTCATGACCACACATATCACAATTATGTTCATGACCACACATATCAGCACTATGTTCATGACCACATATATCACAGCTATATTCATAACCACACATATCACAACTATGTTCATGACCACACATATCACAACTATGTTCATGACCACACATATCACAACAATGTTCATGACCACACATATCACAGCTATGTTCTTCACCACACATATCACACATATCACAACTATGTTCATGACCACACATATCACAACAATGTTCATGACCACACATATCACACATATCACAACAATGTTCATCACCACACATATCACAACTATGTTCATGACCGCACATATCACACATATCACAACAATGTTCATCACCACACATATCACAACTATGTTCATGACCACACATATCACAACTATGTTCATGACCACACATATCACAACTATGTTCATAACCACACATATCACAACTATGTTCATGACCACACATATCACAACTATGTTCATCACCACACATATCACAACTATGTTCATAACCACACATATCACAACTATGTTCATCACCACACATATCACAACTATGTTCATGAACACACATATCACAATGATGTTCATGACCACACATATCACAACTATGTTCATGACCACACCTATCACAACTATGTTCATGACCACACATATCACAACTATGTTCATGACCACACATATCACAACTATGTTCATGACCACACATATCACAACTATGTTCATCACCACACATATCACAACTATGTTCATCACCACACATATCACAACTATGTTCATCACCACACATATCACAACTATGTTCATGACCACACATATCACAACAATGTTCATCACAACTATGTTCATGACCACACATATCACAACAATGTTCATCACCACACATATCACAACTATGTTCATGACATGATATATCACACTATGTTCATCACAACATATCACAACTATGTTCATGACCACACATATCACAACTATGTTCATGACCACACATATCACAACTATGTTCATAACCACACATATCACAACTATGTTCATGACCACACATATCACAACTATGTTCATCACCACACATATCACATATATCACAACTATGTTCATAACCACACATATCACAACTATGTTCATGACCACACATATCACAGCTATGTTCATGACCACACATATCACAACTATGTTCATCACCACACATATCACAACTATGTTCATGACCACACATATCACAACTATGTTCATGACCACACATATCACAATTATGTTCATGACCACACATATCACAACTATGTTCATGACCACACATATCACAACTATGTTCATGACCACACATATCACAACTATGTTCATGACCACACATATCACAACTATGTTCATCACCACACATATCACAACTATGTTCACCACACATATCACAACTATGTTATGACCACACATATCAACTATGTTCATGACCACACATATCACAACTATGTTCATCACCACACATATCACAACTATGTTCATAACTCACACACATATCACAACTATGTTCATGACCACACATATCACAACTATGTTCATGACCACACATATCACAACTATGTTCATCGACCACACATATCACAACTATGTTCATGACCACACATATCACAACTATGTTCATGACCACACATATCACATATATCACAACTATGTTCATAACCACACATATCACAACTATGTTCATGACCACACATATCACAACTATGTTCATGACCACACATATCACAACTATGTTCATGACCACACATATCACAACTATGTTCATGACCACACATATCACAACTATGTTCATGACCACACATATCACAACTATGTTCATGACCACACATATCACAACTATGTTCATGACCACACATATCACAACTATGTTCATCACCACACATATCACAACTATGTTCATCACCACACATATCACAACTATGTTCATCACCACACATATCACAACTATGTTCATGACCACACATATCACAACTATGTTCATCACCACACATATCACAACTATGTTCATGACCACACATATCACAACTATGTTCATCATCACACATATCACAACTATGTTCATCATCACACATATCACAACTATGTTCATGACCACATATCACAACTATGTTCATGACCACACATATCACAACTATGTTCATGACCACACATATCACAACTATGTTCATGACCACACATATCACACATATCACAACTATGTTCATCACCACACATATCACAACTATGTTCATGACCACACATATCACAACTATGTTCATGACCACACATATCACAACTATGTTCATGACCACACATATCACAACTATGTTCATGACCACACATATCACAACTATGTTCATGACCACACATATCACAACTATGTTCATGACCACACATATCACAACTATGTTCATGACCACACATATCACAACTATGTTCATCACCACACATATCACAACTATGTTCATGACCACACATATCACAACTATGTTCATCACCACACATATCACAACTATGTTCATGACCACACATATCACAACTATGTTCATGACCACACATATCACAACTATGTTCATGACCACACATATCACAACTATGTTCATGACCACACATATCACAACTATGTTCATGACCACACATATCACAACTATGTTCATCACCACACATATCACAACTATGTTCATGACCACACATATCACAACTATGTTCATCACCACACATATCACAACTATGTTCATCACCACACATATCACAACTATGTTCATGACCACACATATCACAACTATGTTCATGACCACACATATCACAACTATGTTCATCACCACACATATCACAACTATGTTCATCACCACACATATCACAACTATGTTCATGACCACATATATCACAACTATGTTCATGACCACACATATCACAACTATGTTCATGACCACACATATCACAACTATGTTCATGACACCACACATATCACATCATCATGACCACACATATCACAACTATGTTCATGACCACACATATCACAACTATGTTCATGACCACACATATCACAACTATGTTCATCACCACACATATCACAACTATGTTCATGACCACACATATCACAACTATGTTCATGACACACACATATCACAACTATGTTCATCACCACACATATCACAACTATGTTCATCACCACACATATCACAACTATGTTCATCACCACACATATCACAACTATGTTCATGACCACACATATCACAACTATGTTCATCACCACACATATCACAACTATGTTCATCACCACACATATCACAACTATGTTCATGACCACACATATCACAACTATGTTCATCACCACACATATCACAACTATGTTCATCACCACACATATCACAACTATGTTCATCACCACACATATCACAACTATGTTCATGACCACACATATCACAACTATGTTCATCACCACACATATCACAACTATGTTCATCACCACACATATCACAACTATGTTCATGACCACACATATCACAACTATGTTCATGACCACACATATCACAACTATGTTCATGACCACACATATCACAACTATGTTCATGACCACACATATCACAACTATGTTCATGACCACACATATCACAACTATGTTCATGACCACACATATCACAACTATGTTCATGACCACACATATCACAACTATGTTCATGACCACACATATCACAACTATGTTCATGACCACACATATCACAACTATGTTCATGACCACACATATCACAACTATGTTCATGACCACACATATCACAACTATGTTCATCACCACACATATCACAACTATGTTCATGACCACACATATCACAACTATGTTCATGACCACACATATCACAACTATGTTCATGACCACACATATCACAACTATGTTCATGACCACACATATCACAACTATGTTCATGACCACACATATCACAACTATGTTCATCACCACACATATCACAACTATGTTCATCACCACACATATCACAACTATGTTCATGACCACACATATCACAACTATGTTCATCACACACATATATCACAACTATGTTCATCACCACACATATCACAACTATGTTCATGACCACACATATCACAACTATGTTCATGACCACACATATCACAACTATGTTCATGACCACACATATCACAACTATGTTCATGACCACACATATCACAACTATGTTCATGACAACATATCACAACTATGTTCATGACCACACATATCACAACTATGTTCATGACCACACATATCACAACAATGTTCATCACCACACATATCACAACTATGTTCATGACCACACATATCACAACTATGTTCATGACCACACATATCACAACAATGTTCATACCACAACTATGTTCATGACCACACATATCACAACTATGTTCATGACCACACATATCACAACTATGTTCATGACCACACATATCACAACTATGTTCATGACCACACATATCACAACAATGTTCATCACAACTATGTTCATGACCACACATATCACAACTATGTTCATCACCACACATATCACAACTATGTTCATGACCACACATATCACAACAATGTTCATCACAACTATGTTCATGACCACACATATCACAACTATGTTCATCACCACACATATCACAACTATGTTCATGACCACACATATCACAACAATGTTCATCACCACACATATCACAACTATGTTCATAACCACACATATCACAACTATGTTCATGACCACACATATCACAAATATGTTCATGTTCATTACCACACATATCACAACTATGTTCATGACCACACATATCACAACTATGTTCATCACCACACATATCACAACTATGTTCATGACCACACATATCACAACTATGTTCATGACCACACATATCACAACTATGTTCATGACCACACATATCACAACTATGTTCATGACCACACATATCACAACTATGCTCATCACCACACATATCACAACTATGTTCATGACCACACATATCACAACTATGTTCATGACCACACATATCACAACTATGTTCATGACCACACATATCACAACTATGTTCATGACCACACATATCACAACTATGTTCATGACCACACATATCACAACTATGTTCATCACCACACATATCACAACTATGTTCATGACCACACATATCACAACTATGCTCATCACCACACATATCACAACTATGTTCATGACCACACATATCACAAATATATTCATGACTCACACATATCACAACTATGTTCATAACCACACATATCACAACTATGTTCATGACCACACATATCACAACTATGTTCATCACCACACATATCACAACTATGTTCATGACCACACATATCACAACTATGTTCATGACCACACATATCACAACTATGTTCATGACCACACATATCACAACTATGTTCATGACCACACATATCACAACTATGTTCATCACCACACATATCACAACTATGTTCATGACCACACATATCACAACTATGTTCATGACCACACATATCACAACTATGTTCATGACCACACATATCACAACTATGTTCATGACCACACATATCACAAATATGTTCATGACCACACATATCACAAATATGTTCATGACCACACATATCACAACTATGTTCATGACCACATATACCACAACTATGTTCATGACCACACACATATCACAACTATGTTCATGACCACACATATCACAACTATGTTCATCACCACACATATCACAACAATGTTCATCACCACACATATCACAACTATGTTCATGACCACACATATCACAACAATGTTCATCACCACACATATCACAACTATGTTCATGACCAGACATATCACAAATATGTTCATGACCACACATATCACAAATATGTTCATGACCACACTTATCACACATATCACAACTATGTTCATGACCACAGATATCACAACTATGTTCATGACCACACATATCACAACAATGTTCATCACCACACATATCACAACTATGTTCATGACCACACATATCACAACTATGTTCATGACCACACATATCACAACTATGTTCATGACCACACATATCACAACTATGTTCATGACCACACATATCACAACTATGTCCATGACCACACATATCACAACTATGTTCATGACCACACATATCACAACTATGTTCATGACCACACATATCACAACTATGTTCATCACCACACATATCACAACTATGTCCATGACCACACATACCACAACTATGTTCATGACCACACATATCACAAATATGTTCATGACCACACATATCACAACTATGTTCATCACCACACATATCACAACTATGTCCATGACCACACATATCACAAATATGTTCATGACCACACATATCACAACTATGTTCATCACCACACATACCACAACTATGTTCATGATCACACATATCACAACAATGTTCATGACCACACATATCACATATATCACAACTATGTTCATGACCACACATATCACAACTATGTTCATGACCACACATATCACAACTATGTTCATGACCACACATATCACAACTATGTTCTTCACCACACATATCACATATATCACAACTATGTTCATGACCACACATATCACAACTATGTTCACGACCACACATATCACAACTATGTTCATGACCACACATATCACAACTATGTTCATGACCACACATATCAGCACTATGTTCATGACCACACATATCACAGCTATGTTCATGACCACACATATCACAACTATGTTCATAACCACACATATCACAACTATGTCCATGACCACACATATCACAACTATGTTCATGACCACACATATCACAACTATGTTCATAACCACACATATCACAACTATGTTCATGACCACACATATAGCAATTATGTTCATGACCACACATATCACAGCTATGTTCATGACCACACATATCACAACTATGTTCATAACCACACATATCACAACTATGTCCATGACCACACATATCACAACTATGTTCATGACCACACATATCACAACTATGTTCATAACCACACATATCACAACTATGTTCATGACCACACATATAGCAATTATGTTCATGACCACACATATGCCAGCTATGTATGTATGTATGTATGTATGTATGTATGTATGTATGTATGTATGTATGTATGTATGTATGTATGTATGTATGTATGTATGTATGTATGTATGTATGTATGTATGTATGTATGTATGTATGTATGTATGTATGTATGTATGTATGTATGTATGTATGTATGTATGTATGTATGTATGTATGTATGCATGCATGCATTTGCGTGAGTATGAATTAATGATGAATCTGTAATGCCACATGATGAAGTTATGAGGTTGATCTCATTATGTATATTTTGAACAGACTGTGAAGAGGGTGCTCTACCAAATGATTGTTCCCGTCTCAACATCTGTTTCAACACGCCCAATGGCACCACCATCTTCCAGTGTGGCGAGGACACCTACTACCACAACGTAAAGCGCGTGTGCGTCAAACCTGACGAGTATCCGGACCTGCCACAAGAACAGGGATGTACCTTCAACCCCCGTTAACCGCAGCCACAACTTCAGCATCTACGTCCACAACAGCTACATCATCTACGTCCACAACAGCTACAGCATCTACCGTGCAAGCAACTATCTTTTTGCCTTTGACAAGTGTTTACAACATAGGTGGGTGGAGTTGGGGGATTCAGTATTTATGATGTTCTTTAGACAAATGTAGAGATAACATTTTCATAAAAACATTGAACTATTGGTACAAATGAGCAATAAAATGTGAAACAGGCATTGTTGGTGCTACTCTAATAAGGTTGAGGTCGGGCGATTCGGAAAGCCATTGAAGCACTGTAATGTTTTCATTCTGAAGATGCTGAATAGTGGCATGTGCTGTGTAGGGCCCGGAACAACTCCCTCCATGGTCGGAACCATGTGAATCCTTTAGATTACGCCTGTGTACCGAATATTAGTTACATTTCCCTGCAGGCGCACATTTCTGCGTGTAAGATATAGCCCCCCACATCATGACACTTTCACCACACTACTCCGCAGCCTCCAGGCGTCCATTCGCATTGTTTTGATTTTCAGCTGTGAGTTGCGGTATAACGATATTCCTTCATTTAGCTAATACATGCCAATGGCCGTCTAAAAGCATGTCAGGCAGTGTCCCTACTCACGATTCCTCAGAACTACACGTGCATATTGTGAACCACCTTTTCTCCATGACATTTTCATGCAAGTTGACACTTTCAAACGTAAACCTTCTGTTTCAGAAGATTTTGCACTGTGCGTTTGTTCCATGTACGCAAATTATATTGGCAAAATTATAACAATGAAACTGTAACAATATGTTTGAAAAATATTTGAAACGTCACATTCATATCACTTATCTGTTTCTTTTTGGGGAGAGTATATTTGTAGTCATTTGTAGTCACTTAGAGTGGTTGGCCATAAAACCTTTATAGATTTGCCGAAGACTTGAATGTTGCTGCATTTTAACAACCTAACACCATAATACCATATTCATGAGTGCTTCTACTGGCTTAGAGCCCGTTTCACAAACCGATCAGAGTGCTACGACTGTCGTAAGTCTATGATCACATTAGCGCTACGATCGCTTTGTGAAATGGGGCCCTGGTTAGAATAAAGTAAGTTGGGAATCTGAAGGTAACAGAACGAAGAGTCTCAGATGTATGTAATTTGATATATGTGCCCTTAAGTTCTTCACTGACAGTGTACATACGTGATGTTCCAAATGTAAATCTGGAAACTGTTTGACACAAAGTGCTTTAGAATAGTAAAATAAATGATTCACTAGCCTTTATGGAGGGGCACATGAAAGAGACACTTTCAACACACCCACCGGCTGAGCAAGCATCCTTATCATCGCGAAAAGTGGTTTCAACACTGATCTTCAGTCATTCATAGACAGTTTCACCTGTGTTTAGTCGTTTACGCCGGGAGATTATCGAGACTGGTTATTCTCTGGCCTTGACGCTGTATATTCAAAGATCATTGCTACAAAATAAAACAAGCACGTCGTGCGGGTGGCAATATTCTTCCCGATAAAATACCAATTTGGATTTCAAATGTTTTGCAAGAAAATAGAGAAAGCAATGGTGACTAAGAAAGACAGACAGCAAACGGACCTGAAGAAACTCCAGCTTCTATCTTAAAACTGAAAACGTTTTCTCTCGACTGGTAATGATAATCTAATGACATGTCGTTAATACGTTTGGTTATGTTGACATTTACATTAGTCGTTAATTACCGTGTAGTCTGTCATGTTAACCAAAATTGTCTTACTTTGACTGGCTGATGAAATACACATACATATATAATGGTGGTTAAATGTATAAAGATTAGGTTTTTCGATGATGATTCACATGTTTATTGTAGTTTTGTTTTGAAATTTTGGTTCCATTTTTCGGGAACTGTTTTTGGCATTATAACAGTTTGAAAACGGTTATCTTGTTTGATAACATCCACTTTTCAAGGGGGGATTTTCCTAGGCTCAACAGTTCTTGAAAGTTAGTGTCAGATATCTCGGCCTTTCCTCTGTTTATATTTCATAAGAAGTAAACCTATATTTGCAGAGGGTCTTAGATTTTCATCAAATTTTGTGAGTCAGTTTCTTTTGGCAAGCAATAAAGGAATGGGGTTTCATTTTACCAGTAAATATTTTTCCGGTACTTTCTTTACACTGAAAAAGTGCACCCTAAACAAGGGACGATATGCACAGATGGGTACAGGTTTTTTCCCAGTGTTGGGTAGGTGCATTTACACGCGCGATAAAATGGCAGCACCAGTGTATGCATCCTTCGTGGAGAAAGTGAGGGGCTTTGATTAAGAATGTCTTGGTAGTCATGGTAAATATTATATGGGGAAAAATATAATGATAGATTTAATTTGCTTATTAAAGAGTAAATTTGATTACAGTAATTTTTGGAAGATGTGAACTACTTGTTGTTTCTGATGTTTCTGAAACTCAGGGACATAATTGGATGAAGACGAATGCTTGGCGAGAGTGTCACCAAGTTTTGTTGGCAATATCAGTTAATATATTATCACCGTACTTCAAATGGTGAAGGGTGAATTTTAAGCCTTTGCCTTTTATTCTTTGTACCATTTCCACACCTTTGAAATCGGTGTACTAAATTTATTTTGGACACATAATTTCTCCTAGAGTGACGCTTATTCTGTTTAAATGCGCGTCGAGCCTTGGCATTATAACTTTATTCAATTTCAAGCTATGCAAGATAGGATGTCGTCGAAAATACTTTTAGGCTTTCTTCTTACACTTTTTGGCCTGTTTGCATTCATTATTGAACCAAGGTTTACGAATATGTGGAGTTGCAGAGGACTGTGGAATTGTTTTGTCAGAAATATTGTTAAGTATATCCGTAAAGGTCATGTTTCAAGTGTTCAATACATAGAGTCATATATAATAACCAGTCAGTCTTGGTGAACTTCCTTCTTGATAAAGAAGAGTTTTAAGAATGGTGGGGAAGTGATCACATAGGTCATCATGTCCCAGCCATTCAAATTCATTATACAAGGTTGTATCGAGGAGTGCCAGATAGAGGGCAGAATATGTTCCAGTTGCTGGATGTAGATAAGTGTTTGATTTATCATTACATTTACAAAGGTTATTATACAGATCCTAACCAATTAACTGAAATAAGTACACTAATCTGCATATTGTTCTATTTTGGGAACAAAAAGAATTGAGTATGGAAAAAATGCAAACGATTTTAATTTTATGTTCTGTTTGAAAAAATCATGACTTCACACTTCACCGAATTGGTAGGAGAGCGGCCTTGCCACGGGAGGTCGCCATGCTTACAGGGACGTGACTTTACAAGTAATGTGAATGGTTCAACCACTAAAAATTTACTCAGCCTCTTTCACTTCTATACTGGAAGTCTCTATCTTGAACAATCAGAAGTACCCGTCCCCCAAAAGGGACAATAGGCATAAATAGGTTTCAAAGAGCAATATTGTACGATCAAAAATTCATCATAAGTTGATTACAATTACATAATTTGAATATAGAAACTAAGCAAAAAATTACAAAAGGTAAAATATCGTCATTTAGTAGCCTATAATCTTGCATGATTTAAAAGTGTATTATAACTTAACAAGTCGAAGAGAGTGATATATTAAAAATAAATACCGCATGAAAATTCACTAGCCAGTTGGGCCAGTGACTGTGGAGATTTACTGTCCCGACTGATTTTTTAGAAACAATTCTCAACACAATATATCAGCTGAAACATACCAACGGCATAACAATAACGTTATTCACACTTGATTCTCATATACATAAGAATTCTAATATCTCATTACTGAGATTTACTGTCCCGACTGATTTTTTACTAGCCACAGGCTAGCGGGCCAGTGGCTATTTCTCACGCTGGCTACACATATTGGTATAAGTCCACTGACATATTAGTCTCGTCCCCTAAATCCCCTAACACAATATTAATGAAGACTAGGACCGATTGTGAATAAAAGTAATGCAAGAGCCATTTTTAAGTAGGATTTGTTATCCAGGCTATTTTACCTCTTCAAAGGGTGCTGATCACGAAAAGTAGGATACCAAGCTGAAAATATGTTTTTGACACTCAAATTTGAAAAACAAAATGGCCTCCAAAATGGCCTTAAATAGGGGTAGGTGTGTACAGTATTTTCGCCTGTGATTGTATCTCTATTTCTTAATTTTGGAAACCTGACTTTTTTTGACATTTAAGGAATGTTGATTATGAATAAATAGGATTCCAAGTTGTACCATGTTTATTGCACCCTCAAATTTGAAAAACAAAATGGTCGCCATAGTCGCCTCAAGTAGTGGTAGGTGTGCACGGTATGTCGTCACTTATGACTGTATATCTATTTTCTAAATTCTTTGAAACCTGACCTTTGTAGACATTTAAAGGGTGCTGATCACGATAAAATAGAATGTCAACTGAAAAAATTGATTATGAACCTTAAACTTGAAAACAAAATGGCCGCAAAAATAGCTGATTCCGTCATTGTTACCATAAAGTTATTGAGACTGTGAGGAAACAAATAGCATTCAAAGTTATACCAATACACAACTACATATGTTTCATGAACAGTTTAAATCATTTCGGATGGAAACAATACGGATAATCAATGAAACAATTCTCAACACAATATATCAGCTGAAACATACCAACGGCATAACAATAACGTTATTCACACTTGATTCTCATATACATAAGAATTCGAATATCTCATGCTTTGCTTAACAATTTGGTCAAAACAACAACACACAAGTTTGAATTCAACATCTCATAATATTCAACGATTTATTGAATAAGCGCCTTTGTGACTTGACTTTGATCAATGACATTTCATCAATAAACACATAAACACTAATACAGCAAAAACTACACCTTGGGTTACCGTCACCACTACAGCAAGTACTACCTAGAGCTACCGTCACTACTACAGCAATGACTACCTAATGCTACGTCATTAAAACGGCAAGTTCTACCTAGAGCTACCGTCACTACTACAGCAATGACTACCTAGAGCTACCGTCACTACTACAGCAATGACTACCTAGACCTACCGTCACCACTACAGTAAGTACTACCTAGAGCTACCGTCACTCCTACAGCAACGACTACCTAGAGCTACCGTCACTACTACAGCAATGACTACCTAGAGCTACCGTCACCACTACAGTAAGTACTACCTAGAGCTACCGTCACTAATACAGCAAGTACTACCTAGAGCTACGGTCACTAATACAGTAAGTA